TGCAGAATGGATACAGGATATTTGAAGACTAAGGATTCAAAGATGCCCCAAGCTGCAGCAGGCAAAGAAGCAAAGGGATCTTGGCTCCCTCTGCTTGTGTGGCATCAGGGCTGGCCCCCAGTGGACTTGGCTGTCATGTCCCAAGGCCCACACAGATAATGCTCATTTAGCCCTATGCCAGCAGGAACAAGGTGCTATTGCTGGAGGCATGCTTCCTAACCTTGGAGTTAAGTTCACTGACCCAAAGTGCTGGACACCAGAACTCATCTGTGTCCCCAGGCTGAGAATGCTTCTCCATGAAAACAATGTGGAAACTAAGACCCAAAACTTGACTATGGATTTTTCCAAGTGAGATAAAGTAGGAATGAAATAAAGTGTCCAGAGCGGTGGAGACAGAATCTATGCAAAGCTGCTGAGCTAAAAGAACAAGCCCCAGGGAAGACGGGAAGACAGCAAGCCCACCAGCTCTGAGTTCCAGTCTTCCTGTCCCTCTGCAGCCCCAGGGCACCGTGGCTCCTGCCCAGAGGTCAAGCCCTGGCAATTGCTGAAGTTTTCACTGACCAAAGCCTCAGACTTTGTCTTCTGACATTCTCTCTGGCCCTGAGGGGTGCTCATTGTCTCTCAGTTACGGAGGCAAGTGGAGTCTCACTGGGCAAGAACCTCAAAGCCACTTCTAAACCATCTGCCTGGGGGGCCAGGCATGGTTACGTGGTTGGCTTTTGTGAAGCCAGTAAGAAGCATCACTCCTGAGTTGCCCTCACCTTCAGCCAGAACTCTGGTGTGCAGAACTCATGGTGGCCCCCATGCCAGGAAGTCAGTTCATAAAGAAACCAGCACCTGAGCCAAAAGGACCCACACCTGCATCCCGGCGCTGCCTTTCCTAGCCTGGACTCTAGGGAAAATCAGTCACCTCTTTGAGCCTTGATTTCCCTCTGTGAAATGGGAACTCATCCTACAAGTATCTGTTGGCACGTACTGTGTGTCAGGTGCCATGATGGAGACAACAGAGAGCCCACTGCCCACACATCCCTTCCAGCCGGAACAAACAGATGATGAGAAAACATGACCAAGTCACATGCACAGCAGAGCAGGGTGGCAAGAACTAGGGCCCCCTTTACAAAGAGTATCAGAAAGGCGTCTCTGAGGTGACCTATGAGCTAAGATCAAAGGATGGAAAACAACAGTAACTCCCAGAACGTTCATGAGAACCAAACAAAGCAATGTCCACAAAGGCACAGGTCTGCTTGCAAGATTATTGTTCAAGATCCATGCCTGGATCGTGAACAGAGCTTCAGAAATGAATTATCATGATGATGGGAGTAGTCACCTCAGTCTGTAACACACCACCACAGACCAGTTAAGAAACAGAGGTTTATCTGGGCTCAGGGTTCTGGTCCAAGTCAAAGGGCTACATTTGCTGATGGCTAGGGATAAGGAATATGAGAAGACCCAGTCAAACTGGTTTTTGTAGCAGACCCACTCTCAAGATAATGCATTAACCCATTCATCAATGTGAACATGAGGGCAGAGGCCTAACCACCTCTTGAAGTTCCTACCTCTCAATACCCAATAATGCAGATTAGATTTCAGTAGATTTCAATGTGAGTAACGTGGGAAGAAGTGGGGGGGACCATAGCTAACACAATAATGACATCAGTAAGAATAACGTTCGAGTCTTAAATGTCCACCACAGGTTTATGTGTTGAGCCCCGGTTCCCAGTTGGTGGTGCTGTTTGGGAGGCCGTGGAAGCTTTAGGAGACGGGTTGACGTATTTGAAAGTCATCCCACACCTCCAGCTCCTCCTTCCTCACTATTCTTCCTGTCCACCCTCAGCTGACCAGCCTCTCTCACGTGCTCCCTCTCCCAGGAAGCGCTCTGCCTTACCCCAGGCCCAGGATCACAGCAAGTGACCACGTCTAAAGCAAATCCTGCCTCCCTCCGGGTGCTTTGCTCAGGTGACTTGCTCACGGAGACAGAGACGTAAAGCTAGCTCACCCGACTTGTTGCCTGTACTGGGCACACAGAAGTGGTAAGATTGGCAGTAAGGGAGAGAGGACGAGCACGTGGGCTCACAGCCTCTGGAAGGCATGCTCACAGCTGGCTGCCCCTCCCTGGGTGGTAGAGGCCTGTTTGTTCTTCACACAGACATCTCTGGTCCAGGAAATACTCCCAGGGGAAATGGTTGCATGGAACTAAACTAGGTAAGAGCCGTTGGTTTGTTTTTTTAAGAGTTTTTATTTGTGTGTGTACACTTGTGTGCGCTGGTGCACATGCCTGTCTGCATGTAAGTGCAGAGGCCAGAGGTCATCACCAATGTCTCCTCTCTCTCCCCACCTTGTTTTTTGAGACAAGGTCTCCCACTAAGCTTGCTGATTCTGCTATGCTGGCTGGCCAGCAGGCCCCAGGGACGCTGTCTCCCTCTCCCCAGCCCTGGGATTACATACACTCACCGCTGGGCCCAGCTTTTTACATGAATGCCTATGATAGGAACTCATGCTTACCCAAAGAGTGCTTTACTGACCAAGCTGTCTCCCCAACCCCTGAGATAAAACTTTTCAACTAAAATTCCACTTGGCAGAGAAAATGTTTTTAACACATGTAACTGTCAAAAAATTAATGTCAATCAACAAGAAAAATCAAAACAAGAAATAGTAATAGCAAAATAGAGCATGTCATCAAGCAACCAGTTCTAAGGGCCAACTAAGCCATGAAAGGATCGTGGAGCAGAAACAAAGCAGGGGAAAGACTTTGGCCTATCAGGTGGGCAAACACCACGTGACTGGAACCATCCTGGTCAGTGGGCATACGTAGAAACTCCCCCATTGTCTCTAGAAGTGGTCAGTGAGAAGAACTTGAAATGAGGACACCCTTTTACCTACAGCTAAGGATATCCTGGAAAAAATGTTCATGGTGGCAGATTCTGGACACATACAGAAATCCTCCAGTCAAACACCCGAAAAACCAGTGTCAACTGTGGGGAGAGAGCATGCTCTGTGGACCAGGCACTGGCTACTCAGCTGTCAATGGACTTGACCTCGGGATGAGAGTTTCCTCTGGATCTTAGTTCAAATCCCATGAGAAGCTGGTTGGCTGAGCCCATCATTGCAAGCCAGACCACACAAGCAATAGATAGATGGTAGGACAGCCTGTAAGTCAGCTGTCTTCACATCATGTGATCACTGCTGCTCCAGTCATTCTGGTTATGAAGAGAAGGGGTGGAGCCCCTGCCACAGATGATAGTGGTATAAGGAGTCAAAAGTGTTAGAGAAGGAAGGTTCCCACAGAAGGGTGCACGGCTGTTGGTAATTAGCATCTCCAGGCCCAACGCCAGGAATGTGGCAGTCAGAACGAGTGTCCCTTTGAACACCCGTGACCAGATGCAAGAACACAGTAACTAAGAACGCAGTCGCTGCACAAGATCAGGCTGTCAGCATTCCATCACAGGTGGGGGAGGGGCTCAGGAAGCCCCACCCCTAACTAAGGAGTTATGGGTAGTTAATGGCTGCTGTGGGAAAATGGCTCATTGCCTTCAGGGGCATAGTCACCGGTGAGCTGTGAACAACCCTCCACTGGTAGTCATACAATCAGCCCTCATTAAACAACTCAGTGGATCACAAAAACAACAACCTAGGAAAATAGGAAGGCATTGTTGGAAAAAGGAGGTCCAGTGGGAGTGGACGTACGTAAGAGATGGTATTGAGGGATGAATATGGCCAAAATACATTATATCCGTGTATAAAACAAGATGCGGGCCACAAAGACGGGAAACAACAGGATCTGTTTCTGCCACTGAACAGCTCTGTGTCCTTGGACAAGTCGTTCAGTCCCTCTGAGTATGTCCTCACTTCCAACAGTTAATTAATATTCCGCAGCTTCGGGTCTCTGTAACAAAATACCAGAGATGATGAATTTCCTAAGAGGGAAGGCTTCTTTGGGCTCCTGGATTTAGAGATGTCATCAGTGATTAAGTAGCTGCCTGTTTGGGTTTGGTTTGGTTTGGTTTGGTTTGGTTTGGTTCGGTTTGGTTCGTTTTTCTGTGCCTGTGATGAGCACAATGGCAGAGCACATGGTGGAGAAAAGCCACTCACTTCGTGCCTGGGAATCCAAAGAGAGAACAGGAAGGAGCCAGGATCCCTTCGAAGTCACATCCTGAAATGACCTAACTTCCTTTTACCACATTCTACCTCTTGATGGTTCTACCACCTCCCAGCAGTGCCATGTGCCAGGGACCAAACCTCCAGCACAAGTCCCTTTGAGGATATTCCCGACCACAGCTACAGCCCCGCCCAACAGGGAAGTCCCCGGGGAGGCACACAGTATCACAACCCATGCTCCAGGCCAGAGGAAAACAGATGGTGCCTACACCTTCCGAGCAAACACCAGGACAAGGGATATGAATGGGACACTCTGTGGGAGGAGTGTGGCGTGGGAGTGATTACAATTGGTAGTGAGTCTAGAAATGGGGTGTGGGGAGGAGTGAGAAGGTGGTCAAGTCATGAGGATCATTCAGAAATATTCTATTCTTCGCAGTATGCAGTGAGTTTTCCTTCTCTTTTACATTAGATGTGGCCACATGATGTGCTTGAGCAGTAATGTGTCAAAAGAAATGGCATATGTCACTTCTGTCACGGGCAGCATGCTGGCATCGGCTGTGTCCCCCAGGACCCCTGAGTGAGAAAGAGCGGAGCAGAAACCCGTCAGACTTCTAAGGAACATGGATACACCACTGGGAGTGAGATGGGGCTTGTGTGTGACTGCAGCGTAACACGCTGCCCTGGCAGATACAGTCAGGGTTCGGGGGAGAGCTGAGATGGGGCTCACTGGTAGCCTTGGTTTCTGTTTCCAAAATGGCAGGGTAGGGGACAGTGAGTGTACTTGGTCAGGATGGGGAAGGACTAATAATATTTCCTTCCTTTACCATTTTGCCAAATCTTAGCCCTGCTGACAAAGCCGCCACATCCATCCAGACTGCTGTCACCAAAGGAGAATGACAATCAACTACAGCAGCCACTTTAACCTTTATTCCAGAAATTTCACTTGATTTTCCTGGAAGGGGCCATGCGAGCTTCCTCTTTACCACATTCCGAGGCTTCTCCTTTCCCTCTGTGGATCCTGCATTTATCCTCAGATCTCTCGGCTCCTCTGAGCAGCCACAAACCAGGAGCTGTTGGAAAGAGAGTTTATAGAGAACATCAAAGCAGGGGCTGGGGTGGGGTGGGGGGATGACAGTGAGAATGGAGCCTCCAGGAAGAGACCTACTCCTCCCCCAGCAGGCTCTAGGGGCTTCAGATGCCCCAGGGGGCAAAACATGTCAGCCCTACCTCCTAAGTCCACAGGGACCATATCTCAGCAAATCTCCAATACGTCATCGTCATCGATTGAAAGGTCATCTTTATGCTCAACTAAGAAAGAAAAACTGTTGTCAATTAGACCACAGCACCATGCTTTGTTAACACTTAGGACTTTTATTTTGTTTGTATCAAAAGAACTTTCTTAAACTTAGTTAGACATGGATTTTTGGTCATGTATTGTACATACAGAAAGTGGAAAATACCCACAAAACTGTTTAACCAGAATGTCCTCAGACATCTTTAGACTGACTTTGCGACTCGCCTTCAGCTTGGAGTCACTGATATTTTTGTGTGTTCACTGGTTATTCTCATCTAGGGAATCAAGAGGTGATAAGAGCATCCCGTGAGAGTTTTCCAGCATTGGCTCTCATCAAGTTCTACCACAGGCACATCCTTAGCTGTTGTTCCCCCAGGAGCTGGCCACCATGGGGTTTTGTTTGGTTTTGTTTGCTTCTTTATGTTTATAAGGGTTTTGCCTGCATGCATGTCTGCACACCATATGCATGCAGTGCCTAGAACATTGTCCAAGAAGGACAGAAGAGAGAGTGCTCCATCCCCTGGAACTGGAGTTACAGAAGGTTGTAAGTCACAGTGTGTGCTGAGAACCAAACCCAGGTCCTCTGGAAGAGCAGCTGGTGCTCAGCACTGAGACAGCCCTGCAGTCCCTCCACCTTGGGATCTGGGGCTTGCTATTAAGCTAAAACTATGCAGCCAATGAGCTCCCAGGGATCCACCTCTCTCCACTTCCCCAGTGCTGGGATTACAAGCACAAACCACCATGTCTGGCTTTTTTAACATGGGTCAGAGACTCAAATTAGTTGCTTTAGCTTGTGAGGCAAGCTCTTTACTAATTGAGCCATGTTCCCAGCCTCTGGCATTGACACTTTTAAAAGTCAGATAAGGAGAATTGTGTCACACTCCCAGCAGTACCAGCAAAGACTATGAGATGCCATTGATTGTAATGTGAAAACTAACTTCAAAGTGTGGCAATGTGTAGAGAAAAATTGAATCAATTGCCATTAAATCAACTGCCCTCCACACCTTCCCTGAGTCTACATCTGAGGCAAAAGAAAATAATCCAAGGTCAGAAAGGGTTAAACCCCAGTTCCAGCCACACCTCTCCCTAGTTATGTGATATAGCAGTCAGAGTGGGCTGGGAGCTGCTACAATAACAAACAGTCCCCAGAGCTCAGTGGCTCAACAGGATAGAGATGTCTGTCTGCATGCACATCTCCTGCAGGTCGGGCAATAGGACAGAGAGCTGTCCTCCAGGTTCAAATCACTGTTTCCACCAATAATGGGAGGAGAGAGAGCCTAGGACCACAGAGGACGTTTCTTGTTTTGAGCTGAAATGGTGTACCACTCCCACCCACATTTCCTTTGCCAGAATGAAGTACATGGACTTCCTTAACTGAAAATGGCTGGAAAATGAGAAAATGTACTCGGGAAGGAGAAAAGAACAAAATATGCCAATGGTGTCATCTAGCTCAGTGACCTCATGGAACTCATTAAGCCTCCCCAAGCCTTGGTTGGTCCTGGTAGAAAAGATGGCTGCACTGGACCTGTTCCACTATGCTTGGGATGCTGGGGACCACTTTGAAATGTGTGTGTGTCACAGAGCCACAGCTTAAAAACACTGGCTGGGATGCACACTTGTTCCTTCCCACCTGGAATTGACCCTGCAACGCCCCCTTGGTCCACCCCCATCGCCTCTTGGGTCAAATGGTCTCCATGTATTTTTTTCCTGGTGCTCACTAAATGACCCCGGACCCAAAAACCTCCTACTTCCCTCCCAAGAGAGGAGCAGTCTTCTCGGGAATCAGTCTTGACTGGAAAGGCCTCCAGACAGCTACAGGGCCTGGCCCTGGAAGTCTCTGTAGACTGAAGGGTCAGATCCACTAGCGACCATGTGGGAGGCTTTGAGCCAAAGAAGTCCTCACAGCAAAACTAGCAGGGAAAATAAAATAAAATAAAAATCCAGGCCAAGCCTCTAGAGGCTGACCCAAGCTCTGCCCCCACAGTCCCAACACCAGAGAGGATCCCCAAATAGACAGGCTTAGAGCTTGGAAGGAGATGTTGTTCCCTCGGGGGTGTGCCCAGGACAGGGCATCCCAGAGCACAGGCGGAGTGGTTGCTGCTGGCCTGGAGGTGGAGACCCTGAGACCAGAGCTGAGCCTGAGGAGCCTCGCTGAGCACTCCTGGGACAGGACAGAGGGCAGCGCGAAGTCTGAATCCCATGCAAATGCCTCTTTTCCCTCACACTCCTTGGCAACAATCAAAAACATTTCCAGCCTCTGGGGGGGGGGGGGTGTCACGACACTCCCAAAATTCAAAATTTTGTTTGTGGTGCTGGGCGCAGACGCCAGGATCTCCTGCTTGCTAGGCAAGTGCTCTACCACCTAACTACCCACCCTGGCGCTCCGCGTTGTTTTAAAGCTTCCTGGAGATCTCAGACACAGCTGGAATGCGGATCCAGGGAGGGACGGAGCCTCCCCTATACACGGAAGGCCTCCATCTCACATTCTCACACAGCCGCGGAGACTGGTCTGGGGTGCAGACAAGCTGACCTCTCTGGTCGAGTCAGCTGGCAGAAAATCTGAAGTTATTCAGGCCAAATCCAGAATCCAGAAGCGAGAGAGCAAAAGGGGGAAGGAAGAGTGCTTGGGAGGAGGGGAGCATGGGTAGGTGGAAGACACTGTAAAAGAATGAGCGGCAGGAATGGAGGAAAGAAATGGGGAGAAAGGGAAGGAGGGAGGGAGGAAGGGAAGGAGAGAGGGAGGGGAGCTACGCATAGGTCTGACAAAGAAATGGAACAGGTACGATGGGAGGGAGGAGCGCGAGCCGCCGCGCTGGGCTTGCTGGGGTCATAGGAAGCGACTGCCGAGCGCGGGGTCGGGTGGCAGGCTTGGCAGGCTTTGCAGGCTTCGGCACCAGCCTCCTCACCGTTGCTGCTCTGGCTCTGGCAGGCACGGGACCCGGGTGCCCCCTAGCGACCACACGCGGCGGTGCGGCGGGACCTCGCGCTCTCCCCCAGGGCCCCACGCGCTACACCCGAGTTCTTTCCCATTCCTCCTTAAAAGCCACTTCCCTGCTTCGCTCGCTGCAAACTTTAGCATCTCCTGGCCTGGCATCCTCTGGAGAGCGGAAAGATAGGCTCTTCCTGAAGCTTTTTCCTGAAAAGGCTTTCTATTCCCTCCTCCGTGAAAAAGGATCAGTAAAGGGGGGGAGCGGTTTGGAGAAAATGGTTTAAGTTAATTTAAACTGTGTCTGCCGCAGGCAGCAATCCAAAAAAGGTTTTCTACTATTTTTTTTTTTTAAGTCCTGTTGAAAGCGTCAAGGGAAGCTCTTTGCTGCAGCCCAGCGGCCAGATGGAGTCAGGCTAGTCCAATGTAGATGCTGCTGGAAAGAAGTCTCAGGCAGCCAGGAACCCCAGGCCTGGTGGTGCCAGAGAATCCCTAGGTCCGGGTCAGACCTTTTGAAGGGCTGCTGAGAGTGATAGTACTCATTCTCGCTTGCAATCCCAGCATTCAGAAAGCAAAATCAGGAGGACAGCCACAAGTTTAAGGGCAGCCAGATCTCAGGACACAGCAGTACCCATTGAGCACGTCCTCTCCCAGCCTGTTTGAACAGGCCAGCTCCTTTCATCACAAGAAGCTCTGAAGTTGGTACTATGTATCTCAATGTCACAAAGAGGAACCGGAGACCTCCAGGAGATAAGGGCACCCAGCCAACCAGTGGCTGCACTGGATGCTAAGCTACTCGGCCCTTGTGGAACTGGAAATGTCAGTTCTACACCGCAGCCAAAGCATGTAGGAAGTGTCTGGAGGCCCTCTCTCCAAAGTGGCCTCAGCTTCAGTCCCTTCCAGTCAGTACCCCAGGATGACCTTGGCTGTGAGCGAGGATGATGACATCACAGCCCCTCCCATCTGCACTGTCTACCTCTGTGTGCCACATCATGAGGCACAGCATGCAATGTAATCCCTTCAGCAGAGAATTCACAGAACGTCTCCTCGGTGCCAGGCACTGTGCTAGAGAGCCAGGGGACAGCGGCAAACACTGCTGAGCTATAACTACCTGCACTCAAAGACGGCCAGGGCTTGGGACACTGACGTCCATGCTCTTGTTGGAAGCCACCTCTGCAGTTGCACCCACAGCCTTCTGAAGTTTGCACCTCCACAGTATGCCTCCCTTCCTAGGGCATACTGGCAACACGGATAAACCACTGGAGAGAAGTCTCAAGAAGTGTTGCGCCTCTGCCAGGTACTACTGGACCAGGTGAACAATTCCACAGGATGCTGCAAAGGAAAGGATAGAAGTGGCCAGAAGTGAAAATGAGATCAGACGAATCACAGAGGAAGCTCCTGGGATTGACTTGATGATAGAGCACCTGCCTGACACACAGAGTCCTAGGTTTAATCCCAGCATCCCTCCAAAAGAAAAAATAATAATAATAAAATCCCTTCCTATCTGGAGCCACCCAGTGAGGGAAGGGACCACCTTGGGAGTAAGTGAAGTCCCCGTTCCAACAGGAGGGTGTCAGGGTGTGAAGAAGTGACTCCTATCCGGGGAGATGGCTCTATTAGATAAAACAGTGGCCCGTTTTAGGCTTAATAGACTTTGCGCTGGCAATCAAGCCCCCATGTGAGTGATTTAATCAGTCTGGGACTTACTTAGCTGAATATGCACAGGAGGGAAGAAGAGAGGAAGTCAGGGGAGGGTGAAGAGAGAGGGAGGAAGAGGAAGGGGAGGAAGAAAACAGAAGAGAAGGGGAAGGGAGAGAAGAGGGGGAGCAAGAGACAGGAGGAGGAAGAGAGAGAAGAGGGGGGAGTTAGGGAGCAGGGAGACGATAAGGCCCCTGCTGGGAAGGGAATGTGATTCTGGAGGTCGCTTCTTCAAAGATGGTCCCAGTGCTCCTTGGTTTACGATGGACTCATGCCCCAATAAACCATCCTAGGTTGAAAATTTCTAAGTCAAAACTGCCCCGGTGTCCCTCACCTGCCAAACTCCAGTCTCAACTCCCCAAAATGTGCCCAAAGCTTAGGTTAGCCTCCAGTAGGGCAAAATCATCAAACACAAAGGCTATCCTAGAAAAGGGTGCTGCTTCGTGTCATGCACACACACAGTTGGGCATTTTGTAGACTTTAGAGTATCTAGTGAGAACCCAAGGTTCAATGTCCAAAGAGTGCTGGTAGCAGAGAGTACCACAGAGTATCCTAAGCTCAGCCAACAGCCTGGGTGGGTCACCGTAGATGCCTGGCATGTAAGACCGACCCACCACACCTCTCTAACCTGGGGAAAGATCACAATTCCAAACCAGATGTTATGATTTCTATTGATCAAATACCACTTTGGCTAGATGAAACTAGAAAAAAAATCATCCTGAGTGAGGTAACCCAGACCCAGAAAGACAAACATGATTGGTGCCTAGGCCAATTGTCATCGAAGAGGCTTCATCCAGCAACTGATGGAAACAGATGTAGAGACTCACAGTCAAACATTAGGCGGAGCTCAGGGAATCCTGCCGAAGATGGGGAGAGAGGATTGTAAGAGCCAGAGGGGTCACGGACACTGAAAAAAAAACCCCACAGAATCAACTAACTTGGGCTCATAGGGTCTCACAGAGACTGGACCGGACAATCAGGGAGCCTACGTGGGACTGACCTAGGCCCTCTGCATATATGTGACAGTTGTGTAGCTTGGTCCTCTTGTGGGACTCCTAATAGTGGGAGCAGGGGCTGTTTCTGAGTCTTTTGCCAGCTTTTGGGACCCTATTCCTCATACTGGGCCACCTTGTCCAGCCTTAATACAAGGGGAGGAGCTTAGTCTTACTGCTACTTGATACGTCATGTTTTGTTGATATCCATGGAAGACCTGCCCTTTTCTAAATAGAAACAGAGGAGGAGTTGATGGGGCGGGGATGGAGGTGGGGCTTCAGAGGGGAGTGGGGGAGGGCCTGGGAAGAGAAGAGGGAGGGGAAACTATGGTCCAGATACAAAATAAATAAAAAGTATCACTTTGGCACCATAATGAAATCAAAGGACTGTAAGCCTGACCATCCCAAGTTAGAGACCCTCTGTTTCCCGCAGTGGCCCACACGCCACAGTCAGAATCCCGTAAGTTCTGCTGCTGCAACAAACGCACCTCAGCACCTCGACACAGCGAGCTTTCTCCTCATTCACAGCAGAGTTAGGAAGATGCCCCTGGGGCCTGCTATCTGGACTATGTGACCTTCACACAAGAGGATCAGGTACACCAGCAGCTGGAGAGCGCTGATGTTTTCCTCCCTCACCGGTGGGCTCATAATAGAACACACGATGATTTTAGATGGTATTGCAGATATTTTGCATTGAAAGTGAATAAGTCAGTGAAAAACATTAGTTGCAAAATGAGCAAATTACTCACAGACCACTTATCTCAAAGGCTTTGTAAGGATGAGCAAGTCTCTGCTTGGTGATCACATGCCTTAGCATCTCCCTCACGCTGAAGTCACTAATCAGTATCCATGACATGATATGACATGAAAGCCGGCCTCAGACTCCAGCTTTCAAGAGAGAGGGCATCTTACCTGGATTTTCCTCTTCTTTTTTAATGTGTCTTTGTGGTTACACATATATGTGGTCTGTGTGGATACACATGTGTGTGGAGGTGACAGCCTTGGATATCAACCTCAAGAATACCATCTACCTCCTTTTTTTAAAAACATATATTTTATTTATTTTTATGTGTGTTGGTATTTTGCCTGCATGTATGTCAATGTGAGGTTACCAGAGTCCCAGGAACTGGCATTATAGACAGTTGTAAGCTGCCGTGTGGGTGCCGGGAATTGAATCAGAGTTCTCTGGAAGAGCAGCCAGTGCTCTTAACCACTGAGCCATCTCTCCAGCCCCATCCACCTCCTTTCAGACAGGGACTCTCCCTGGTCTAGCATTCCCCTATGAGCCTGGCTGGGCGCCTCAGATATCTGCCCGTCTCTGCTTCCCCGGAGCTGGGATTGCAAGTGTGTGCCATCAGTTCTGGCTTTTTGTGTGGATTCTGGGGAACAAACTTGCCCTCATGCTTGCAAGGCAAGTCTTTTACAGTGCCATCTCCTCAGCCTACAGTGACTTTCTTGATTTCCTCCTACTTACAGCAAATGACAGTTTCCTCTGTAGGATGGCAGAGTCAAATGTTGTTGTTGTTATTGTTGAGGGTTTCTGTTGTTGTTGATGATGATGATTTGTTTTTGGCACAGGTGAGACAGGATCTTAGCCTGGGCTGGGTCAGAACTCAGTATGCAGACCAGGCTGGCCTCAAACCCACAGAAATCTGCCTGCCTCTGCCTCCGGAGCGCTGGGATTAAACACATGTGCTATCACACCAGGCTTCCTTTTAAGTGCATGCATGTATTTATTTTCTCATGTGTTCATTCATTCATTCATTTACATTGCATCTCCTATTTTGAGAAGAACATTAACAGTGGCAGAGATGGTGCATAAATTTGACAAAACGGGCTGAAGACAGAGTGTGAACAATTAAAGCCTAGCAAAGATGCTCCAAGTCAGGCCCCACTGCTTGTCGTAAATATTCAACTGACAGAAAGACTGTGGGTCCAAGTACACACTGTGATGACTCAATACACACACCCAGTGTATAATGATAACCAGTCAGCCAAATGCTCCCAACACAACCATGCTGTCCCTCAGATCTTCATAGCCACTCTTCTTAGAAAGGGAGGTCCCCCTCTTGGACCAACATCCCCCCATGTCACCCAACCCCTCACCAGCTTCTTCTACCTAGTCTATATTTAGACCCCACACAAAAGTGAGGTCACAGGGCAGGCAAGATGTCTCAGTGGGTAAAGGCACTTGCCATCAAGCTGGATGGCCTGGGTTCAATCCCTGGGAGACAACTGACTCCTACATGTTGTTATCACACACACACACACACACACACACACACAACAACAACAACAACAACAACAACAACAACAACAACAAAAACAAACAAATAAATAAATAAATAAATAAAACACATCTTAAAAATTAATATCGTCTGAAGCTGGTCTTCCTGTCTCTGGCTTGTTTCTCTCAGCAGAGTGTCTTCCAGCTGTAACCATGTTATCACAGACAGCAGAACTTCCTTTTTTTTTTTTTTTTTCCAAGACAGGGTTTCTCTGTGTAGCTTTGGTGCCTGTCCTGGATCTCACTTTGTAGATCAGTCTGGCCTCGAACTCACAGAGATCCACCTGGCTCTGCTTCCCGAGTGCTGTGATTAAAGGCGTATGCCACCACCACCTGGCAGAACTTCCTTCTTTTGATGTCAGAATAATATTCACTGTGAACAAGGGTCAGTGAGTCTTCTATCATCCCAGCTATTCAGGAGGCTGACACAAGAGAATCATTTGTGCCTAGGAGTTCAAGGCCAACTTGAACAATGTACTAAAACCCTAGCTCAGAAAAATGGAGAGCTCAGTATGGCTCAGTCAGTGGCAGCACACTTACCCAGCATGCATCAGGCCTTGGGTTCCCTAGAACCTGCAAGAACTGTTTGTCAGGGTGTGGGGGTCTATGTGTGTGTGGACTGTGTGTACGTAAGTGTCGATCGTGAGTATCCCATTTTCTTTATCCATCAGTGTACTCAGAAATGCTGTTTCTGTATCATGGCACTGGATAAGGGAGGCTGGGCTGGGAGGATCACAGGTTTAAGGCCAGCCTGGGCTCCAGTGAGAGTCTCTCTCAAAAAGAGAAAGCAAAAGTAAATCC